GGTCTGGTTGAATTGGGGTTTAGTCCTCGTGTCTTGATACAGGCCCGACTTTGTTCTGCCTTGCTGCTTAATTAAAAAACTAGTTTATGGTGTCCTGCATATGTGATATATTTTTTTCCTATATGAAGTCATTCTTTTTTGAACAAAACTCAAAACAGAGCCTATTAATCTTTCAGTCTTTCAGTCATTTCTAAAATAATAATCCCACATGCATACTACCCTTTAGGGCTAAGCCCCGGGTGTTTCAAATGTCTGGCTCCGCCTCTGTTTAGGGCTAAGCCCCGGGTGTTTCAAATGTCTGGCTCCGCCTCTGATGCAGGCTATGAATTTGGACACCCCTACAGGTGCTGTGCATAGCCATACTATACCTACTATTTCAAGGCCTTCATACGATTTTACAGGATTGCTTGATGTTTTTTCTAATTTTAACTAACCAATACTCAGACATTTTTGATGCATTTGTTCCAAATTACAGATCCTGTTTCATTTTTGTGGTAAGCCAGGCCAGTGAAAATGCCAGGATTTAATCTGTGAAATGTTTTGAGTTATTCATGTTCAAACATTTCTTCAAATTTCAAAGGCCTATGATGATGATGATGATAATTATTAATATTATTATTTTACTTTGCTTGAAATTACTGCAATTAAAGTACTGTCGGGCCTTATCATAATCTTAATACGTTCTGTGCTAAAGTTAAGTTATCTGTGTTACAGATCATTTTATAACTATTTTAGCAAAAGTCAATGAACCACATTTGCACATTTGAAATGTTTTATTAAATATCTCAGGCAAACTCATATCCATATGAAGCACTTCAGCAAAGGTATTACAAATTGAGCTCTTCACATTCCATCATGCTCTCTAATACTAACATAAATTGATGTGTCACAAAGCATTGTGAAGTTGCTGCATCACATTTTGTTTTTCCTAGTGTTGACAATCTGCCAACTGTCATCACATTCAACCACAACCACATATTTAACATATCTAATGAAGCAAAAGGAATATTGGTTTTTATGGGATTTCCTTTGAAGAGAATCCAGATATGTTTAGAAACAAATAGCATTTTCTGTAAAAGCATGAGATGGCAGGAGCTTATCTGTTAATAGCTATATAAGAACATGAAATATATTTCAGTATTGCAGTTTTGATGTTCAAATCAAACTTAAGTAATTTACAATGTTGAAATGCTAATGCTGATAGCAGAATTTTAACCAACCAGCTCCATAAAACTGTCTTTGTAGTGCAGCTTAGCAGTTTTGGAAGTGTTCACCGTCCACATCCCGTAAGTCCTGACCTGCTAGGCGAGGTGGGCTGGTGCATGTGATGTTGTTGTATATGGTGATTGTCGTATCAGGCTCTTCACCTTCTGCGTGGGTCTCCACTAGCCGAGGAATCACCTGTGACTTCCTCAACGCGTAGTTTCTAAGTGGGAGGTTGCTGCAGTCACATTTCCACCTGTTTCCAGACAGTAATAGTTTTTCTATATTATCAGAGAAGTCTGGGGCCAAGCTTGTTAAGGCATTATCTCTCAAGTCTAGGTAGCGCAGCCTTGGAAGAATCTGCCTTGTGCCATTTTGCAAAAACTGTCTACACTCATTGTTGGACAACAGCAAGTACTCCAAATTCTTGAGGCCAGAGAATGTATGGGTGGTGAGAGCACCCAGCTTGTTGGAACTCAGATCAAGTCCCGATAGGCCTACCATATCCACAAAACTCTGGTGTTCCACAACAGAAATATTGTTGCGTTGCAGAAATAGCCTCCTTAAACCAGACAGTCCTCTGAAAGCTTGAGTTGTTATCTTAGTTAAGCAGCCTCTGTCCAGATGTAGGCTGTGAAGCCTTGGCAGACCTTTGAACATTTGGTCTGGTAGAGTGCGGAAGCAGCTTCCAGAAAGGTTAATGACAGCCACATGAGAGAGGCCTGTGAAAGCCCCCACGTGTGCTTCCTGCACTTGATTGTGTTCTAGTTCTAGGACCTCTAAATGGCCGAGATCTTCGAAGATCCTATCCCCCAGATTTCTAATCCTGTTGTAACTCAGTCTTAGTTCTTCTAGGTACTGCAGATCACGGAAAGTTCTAGGCCTAATTCCAGTGATAGAGTTGTGAGAAAGGCGAAGTACATGGAGATTGTGCAGGCCAAGGAAGGTGTCATCATGTAGAGAAGTCACTTTATTGTTTGTCAGATCCAGCCATCTAAGTGACTTCATGCCTGCAAAAGCTCTGGGGACCACTGTTAAAATCTGATTCTGTCCCAGGTAAAGCTTTTGCAGTTTAGTTAGTTTAAGAAACACGTTGGCTTTGATCACCTTCAGGTAATTTCCTGTCAAATCTAACTCTTTGAGCTCACCAAGGTTTTGAAAGAGCTGTGGCTGCAAGTAAGCAAGTCTGTTTCCTGCGAGTATCAGCTCTCGCAGACCTTGCAGGTCATGGAAAGCTGTCTCAGGTAAGACCGTTAATGAGTTCCAACCTATGTTAAGAAGCCACATTTGTGAGAGTCCTGCAAACAGTCTTTCCTCAATGCGACTGAGTTGGTTGTTATGCAGACTAAGTGAAGCAAGGTTGGGTGTATTCTGGAAGACTGTACCTGGTAATACCCGGAGGCGATTCCGCTCAAGGTGCATATGTGCTAGTGACCCAAGGCCCTTGAAAGCCTGAGGGTCAATAGTCGTCAGCTGGCCATTCTGAAGATTTAAAAAGTCCAGGTTGGTCAAATCCCGAAAAGCTGCGGCTGGGAGCGTTGTAAACCGGTTGCCATCCAGCCAGAGAGAATAAGTGGATGGTGGCATGTCAGTTGGTACTTGTGTGAAGTTGTGAAAACTGCAGTACATGTTGAGCTCCGAGATTAAATCATCGTATTGACAGGTGCACACCTTAGAGCAGGGAATGGGATCTTCAGCCACCTTCTCTGTAGCTGCTGTGTCTGACTGTGGAAACACCAGTGATGTTCCCAATATCCAGACTACCATCAGAGCAGTGATTTGCATACTAGCTGTGGAGAGAATATTAACATGTAAATATAAAAATGTAATACATAAATTCATTATAGAATGCAAAATATGGTTAAGAAATAAGAAATAAACATTAAATTATAAAATTGTTAATAGTTAAAGGCCAGAAAAGATTTACCTTGAGTTTCAGAGGTCATGATTTAAGGCAGACAACCTGTGTAATAGTGAATGACTGATCCTTGTGCAACTGTATGCTGAATGAAAAGTCCACCAAGCCCCCAAGCTTCTTTTTTTTTTTTTTGGTCAGGTCCACTTTTTCTGCACCATTAACCCATTCATTTCCATCAGAGTTGTTAGTAAGTACATTTATTCATGTACTTTTTCTTAGAATTTTCAGTTGGACTTTCTAAACCTTTCTTCCCAGCATCAATACTGATCATTTCAGTGTCATAATAATAGCATAATAATAACAAAGTCTGCAAAATGAGAATATTTTAGACTTTCCATTCCTCTCTGCGGTTTTTGCTGTGCTGAAATTTCTCTTTTTATGTATCTCATTTCTTTGTAAGCTTTCTAAAATATTGTCAGCCCAGGTGGCTGGCAGAGTCATGCCACTGAGTGCATTTACTGTAGATTTTAACTGAGATACAGTGTTAAAGAGATAAGATTACACAGTGCACTGAGCCATTGACTGAATTTATGACGTTTTTCAGGTTTTTTTTGTTGTTTTTTTCCTGCTTATTGGTAACCCAATATCAAAGGAACATTTGTCTAAGGATAAACTGACTGAACATATATTTCACTTCCAAACTTAAACTTGGAAGCATACATAATATGCATATTAAATATGCAATAACATTTTGTCATCTGTTATTGAACAATACTTTTGGAACAAAGCTGTTATATTTGAAAAAAATTAAGATGTATGTGTTTTGACAAAAGCTGCATGTGACATAGAAACTGACAGCAGTGCCAGAAATGCTTCATTCACAAAGTTCATAATGTAGGATGGGGTCAGTTCCAGAGGTCAATTTCCTTATCAATGGCTGTAATGACTAACTTTGTGTTTGCTCTTTTTCCTCATATCTGAGATCTTTAGAGAACCATGCTAAAGCTCTGAAGGCCAAGCAAATCTAGATAGTACTGTGTGCTTACTCATTCATTTGATTTAATTTAATTGGGTGATTTTCCAACACTGAATTTTTAACAATATGAAGACACATTATATTGCATATATAGTGACTGTTTGCTAAATATTGTCCACTGCTGCATTCCACAAATTGGCAAAATATTATCTGTTAAAAAGTGTACGTGATGTGCAGCACAGCCTTCTTCAGTTGTTGATAATTACATCTGGCAGATTTATATGTTAATATCAGTGATAGTTATGTTTATTCCAGCATTCATCTAAATCAGATGGAGCTTGGTGTGTGTATTGTAGTCTTATTTTATATTTGATCTAAAATACACATTTTTAAATGATCTTTAATAGACATTTGTATTGATTAATACATGTGGCACAAAGTTAGAGTTTACACATCGTTTTTTAGGTATATAATAATACTTTTATGTCCCAAGCTGAAAAGAAATGCACTCCATATTTCTCATATGAAAGGATCATGTGTCCTGACTGAAACCTTTGTCATGCCTGCAACTCTGATAAAGGCTGCAGAGTGTACAGAGATAAACAGAATTAAAACGTTCTCTTGCCAGTAGAGAGCACTGCTGGTTTGCTGTTTCATCTTGGTCAAACAGCACTGTCTTCATCTGTGGAAGCCTTTCCTATACTAACCAAAATGGTTAATGCTTAATAGAGTATGAGCAGCAGCGATAAGCAGATCTATGGATTTTGCTGTGTCTTTCTAGGCTTCACTAGATCAACCGTGGAAAGCAGCTTTCTCGTTCTGAAGTCAATTTCTTTCTTTTTTTTCTTTTAAATGACATGAAAAGAAAAAAAAACTTGGAGAATGGCTGCTGCAGCGAGCTGTTCTTTGATTTTTGCATCGCTGACAAACACCTCTGATTGGCTCCTTCTGTGGCATACACAGAGGTTTCCAGCTTGGTCGGTTGCTATGAGCTCACTTGGTGGAGGAGAGGCATCTTAATAGTGAGCGGGAAAGCCTGTCGCTGTGGTTGAAGTATTTTGACTGGGCTTTGTCTTGTTTAAGGAAGAATAATTTTCTCAAATAACTCTATATACATTTTTTAATTGTTTAGCAGCAGATAAATTGGCTAGAAAGCAAGAAGTCAATCTAAATTAAGCAGCTGGATGCTGATCAGAGTTAAAACTAATATTAATTCTGCTACTCTGCCAATAATTGAGATTGCCAGTTAGAGAGATAAAGTATTAGAACACATACACTGTAGCTAATGAACACACAGGCTTATCCTGCTGCAGCTATGTTAGGCCTGTTTAACTTAGACTTTTGTCATTATCTGGATACAGAAATCATACAAGTTTAAACTGAACTGGGTTTTCAGGGATTTTTATTAGGTTTAACTGTTTTGGAAATATATACTATACTACATTGCCTGTCCATCTATCTGTCTATTGTACATCATTAACAGTAAAACACATATATCTAGTCACTCTCATCCCATCCAATGACCTACACTTTTTCAACATCACAGTAAAAAACAATTAAACATGCCTATTTAGCAAGTGAAGATGAAAATTCGTTGCTGTGCTTGTTAAAGTGATTATGACTCAGACTTTAGTACTTTGTTTTTTCTCTGTGTTTTTTTGTTTAATTGGCTGGTATTCAATTCGCAGTCCAAGCCGATTCACCTTTGAAACCACACAACTTATCTTGTTGTCTTTTCAAACATAAAACGCTATGTGACAAGCCAACACTAAAAAGACTGTGTGCGGTATTAACTGCTTCATTTTAGAAAAGCAATGACAGACAAAAACCACCAGAATTCTAAAACGAGTCTAAGAGAAGTACATAAAAACCAGCTGAATGTAGTAACTTCGGTGAAGAAATAGCTCTATCAAAAGAAGAAGAAAAAAACAAGCTGTAAAACCAAAGATTACTCCTCCTGTGCTGCTGTAGTGGGCCTCAGGACATGAATAATGTTGGACCCTCCTGCTGCTCTCATCTGTTGCACATAACACAGTGGAAAACAGCCAAAAGGAGCACTTTCATTTCTGTGCTCTGTTGCTGTAACAGGGAAATAACTTTTTACTACTAAAGAAAGGTTAAATAACTGATCTCTTTTCTTATTCTTATAATCTGCTATTAGGGAAGTGGAGAGACTTTAGTGATCCAAATTGTTTGATTTGTCTCTGATTAAAGTTGGAGCGACACATAACGATAAACATATATAAGAGCTTCATATGGAGTGACAGTCAACACTGCCATCCTCTGGTCGATTGTTGCACTCCTCCCTTTACATTTTAAAAACAAATTAATAAAAGAGAAACGTGTTTTATCTGAGTTTAAATCATTGTTCAGTTGCCTTTGGTTCAGTACTGCTCTGAAAGCGCTGCCACCTCACCCTTTGACAGTAAAAAGACCCTCAACACCCCTGCAGTGGCTATTAATAACACCCAGGGCTCACAGTCAACTTGCTGCTTTCAAGGAGGAAAGAGAATTCAATGACTCAGTGTCCACATCTGGAATCTGCTGGAACTGGCCATTTTTTGGTAATTGACTGTGATGATGTGACCAAATCATGCAGCTGAGGACCCAGATTAGATTTCTATTGTAACATTGTAACCGTTGGATGTGTGCTGCCATAGCCAATCGAATACCTATCTATGCTTTTTTACATGCCGCCTGTTACAAAAATATACTTTGTTCCCATATATTTAGTTTAAGATAACACACTCTGACATATATAAAATTGTATTTTTGCACCAACAAGGTGATTTCTAAAGAGCTATTTGCTGAAAAGTATCAGACCTAAATGAATGTGTACAGCAGATGAACAGTATCTGAAGATTATGTCCATAGAAATAGAAATGATCAAGCAAGAAACCAGACACATGACGTGAGAGATGAATCACAGGCTTTAGCTGATCCATCTAATGTCAAGGGTGGCTGTCAAGAAGCCATCCTTAAGGAAGGGAAATGAAACAAAAGTTGATGTATACCAGATTAGACGAGGCTTAGACTGAAAATCAGGGGTAAGAGGTCTGATAGAGTCATGAATCCAAATGAGGTTTTTGGTTAGAACTGTTGTCAATATGGTAAATGGCCTGTATTTATATAGCGCTTTTCTAGTCCTTTAAGGACCCCAAAGCGCTTTACATATCCAGTCATCCACCCATTCACGCACACATTCACACACTGGTGATGGTAAGCTACATTGTAGCCACAGCCACCCTGGGGCGCACTGACAGAGGCGAGGCTGCCGGACACTGGCGCCACCAGTAGGCAACGGGTGAAGTGTCTTGCCCAAGGACACAACGACCGAGACTGTCCAAGCCGGGGCTCGAACCGGCAACCTTCCGATTACAAGGCGAACGCCCAACTCTTGAGCCACGATCGCACGAATATGTACAAGATGTGACAAGTATATTTTATCTAACACTATAATGAATGCCTTGGAGTAAACCTTGGCTAGCAGACCTCGAGTACTTAAAGATTTATTGCTGCAAAAGCTTTTATTTAAATGCTTTTTTTTGTTGTTTTTTTTACACCTGATGCCCTTCTATTTCTATTTATTAAAGAAAGAAAATGTTTTGCAGTGATAGACAAGAATCCTGACAAGGTGAAAAAATAGTTTGGCTACTTCAGGGTTAAATTGATTTATAGCAAACTGCTATCACACATGTCAATTTGTATATCGTCAAAGAAAAAGCTCTGAATTGAAATGAAACTCCATTGAAACGCTCTCATTTTTTTCCCCTCACTGTCATCCTGCCCATTTAGCTATGCTCAGGGGATCCAGGATGAAACTGAAACAGCTAGACAATGTCAGTTGAAGAAGACAGGTGAAAGACACACAACCAAACACTAATGTCTGTGTGAATTAGACAACTGGGAAGAGACCTGGATCTCATTGAGAGGAGGGAAGAAAAGCAGCTCCTGAATCCCTGTAGAAATGCAGATAATCTGAAGCTTCATTTAGGTCTCTCATTCATTTTTTTCTTCATTTATACCTTTTTTTTTTTATCTTCACATGAGTAAATGCAACTTCATGTGACCAGCATAACCCAAAAATGGAAATATAAAGGTATATTAGCTATTTTATATATTACTAATAAAGCTACATAT